ATAGGTGAACAATTGATTCAAAGTATGATATACAACTTTTTGGAATGTGTAGACCCCCACATGTGACAAATTCAATATTGTCCTGAGAATTTGAATTAAGCAGCTTAGAGATGGTAGTAAGTCACTGATGCGTGTTGGGTGATGATAATTAATGTAATAATAAATATTACATTTATTATTAACCATGTCAAAATAATAGCTAACACGGATATGGAGTATACTGTTACTGCTTTTCTGACATTATCCAATCCTAAGAATTACCTAGAAAACAGCATCACGTTTTTATTGTATGGATGCAAAAGCTGCACAATAGAGGAGTTAAGTAATGTGTTTGGGTTTATGTGAAGCTTCTAAGAGGTAAGGATAGAATTCAAACTCAAGTAGTGTGATTCCAGAGTCCATATCATAATGTTTAGTTGACCCTAATCCCTACTCTACTCCCATTGAACCAATGAAAAGAATTGTAGAATATACAGGGTGACCATAAATTCTGGGAACATAGGTGACTAATTGACTTATTTGAACATTTAATTAATTAATTAATACCCATATTAATTAATTGATACCCGTATTTGCCTGGTTAAAAGGTCACTCAGATTGGTTCCAACAGGATCCTGTGGGAGGTGGCACAGGACTGCCTTGTCGATCATGTCTCTAGCTGGATTGGATGCTTAAACATGTGCAATGAACTCTTCTGATATGCTCTAAGTGTAGGTTTATTCAAGAAAAAACAGACGAATCAATCATCTGAAACAATGCATTACAGATACAAGTGCAAGGTTAAGGAAAATGTGTTACTACACCACATTCATTACAATTTTTCAGTTCATTGAATTCTGCATTGTTAGTGAGGAACAACACGTTGAACATTCATAATGTCACTGAGCACATGATACGTAGTAAAATAATACCATGAAGCCATTTTTATGTATATGCATCAAGGTTTACTTTAGGACCATATTGTATTTACCATCTTGGTTGTTGACCTTTTTCTGTCTCCTGCTTGGAGACAGTGTAGGGTCTGACTCTGAACACAGTATTTCGGATGCACTCTGGCCATGGTGAAGTAGGACCATCTTCCTGTTCTTCAACATTTGAGGTACTATAATCTAAGAGTATTGATCTTTCCGGCAGTCAGTTAACTAACTCAATGAACTCACGTTGACTTCGATATTCATTCATCTACAAACATTTTTCATACCTACCTTGTATGAGACACTGTTTTAGGCACTGACAGCACAATGGTGAGTAAAACAAAGGCTCTGCCCTCCTGGATCTTTTATTGAAGTAGGAGAAGGATCACAAAAACATAATCAAATAGATACATAGTACACATCAGGTCGTGCCAAATAGATACATAGTACACATCAGGTCGTGCCAAATAGATACATAGTACACATCAGGTCGTGCTAAATTAACAGAGAAAAAGAAAGCATCTCTGTTCTTTCTCCAAAGGCTAGAGAATGAAGAAGCTGAGTGTTAGCCCGGTGGGTATCTGGGGGGAGGTAATTGCAGCCACAAGGAACAGGAAGTGCAAATGTCGCTCCCCGCCCCCCCCAGCCTGCCCCAGGACGGGGAGGCACCTGACACCTGATTTATTTAAAGAATAGAAGAAGGCCAATGTCACTAGAGTAGAAATGACAATGGGATTGAGGAGAACCTGGTAGGGAATAAAGATTAGAGAGATAGCAGCAGAGCAGATCATGTGGAGTCTTGTAGTAAGGAATCTTAATTCAAGCCTTAGTTGTGATAGAAAGCAACTGAAGGATTTTTTTTTCCATGGGAGTGACATAATCTGTTTGAATTTGAAAAGGATTACTCTGGCAGCTTTGGGGCTAATAGACATTAAGAGAGCACGAGTGAAAGGGAAATCAATATGGACTACAACAGCTATTTTTATATGTCCAAGATAGGTTGGCTTTTAATTATCTGTTTTCTTTGATTTATAATTAAATTGCACTGCAGTCAGAAAATGTGTTCTGTATGACACTGTTTTTTGTTTTTTTTTTAATTCCTTTGTGAACTAGCCCAACATTAATTTTTGCAAATGCTTTCGTGTATTTGAAAATAATGTAGATCCTCTATTTGTTGGGTGCAGAGTTCTCATATCCATTAGTTCAAACTAGTTAAGTATTATTATTCAGATCATTCACATCCTTGCTATTATTCGGTCGACAGAGTCTATAATTTTCTAATAGATTTTTGTTAAAATCTCACACTAGATTTTGCCAAATTTACCTCATGCTTCTGACAAGTTTTAATTAATGTTTTTAAGCTACCTGTTAAATAGTTACATGTTTGGTACATAATTACATGTACCATGTATATAGTTACATGTCTGGTCATGATTTGCATGTCTTGTATAGCTTCTTTTTAGATTTTTAACTTTACACGTAGTTCCTACTTAGGCATTAATGCTTTTTGCTTTATATACTACTTTGAATTAATATTTATACACCAGTTTTCTCTTAAATATTTGTGTGGAATATCTTTTGGCCATATTTTTATTTTCAACCTTTCCAAATATTTTTTATAAATAACATTTTCTTTGATTTTTTTATAAACATATTATGGATTTGTTTTAATTTCTACCATCTTGGTGGTTTGTGTATCTTCTCTATTCTCTTTATTTTTTATTTTATTTTTTTTTAACTTTTATCTTTCGGGTGGATTAATTTTTTTTCTATTTCTTCTCTCTTCAGGTCTCAGGACCACAGATTGTATTGCAATTAATTTAATGACCACTTTCATTTTTTTTTTACCACTTTCTTTTTTAACATGTATACTTATTAGGTAATTACATCTTCCCTCTTAAGTATGATACAGACATCAGTTCACTTTACTACCCACTGGTCTTCCTAGCACATACTCCTCCTCTCCTGCGGTCCCTCTTCCCAGCCACAAACACAGACCTCCCAGCAGGAGTTTGGCTGTGCTCTCTTACATCACAGAAAACTCTTGAGGATCCTTTGACTTTCTTGAGCTAAGCAGACAATCACCCCAGCCTGCTTCTAGCCCTCTGTGCCTGCAGGCCTGTGGCTCTATCCTGTTTTCCATTTAGTGCCTCTCTTTCTGGTCCATGAAGATGATTATCCACATTATTGTGGTAAAATACACATAATACAACAAAAAACTTACATTTTAATCAATTTAAAGTGTATAATTCAAGGGTGCCTAACTGGCTCCGTTGGAAGAACATGCAACTCTTGATCTCAGGGTGTATTAAATCTTAAAAAAAAAAAAAAAGGAAAACTTAGGAGCATTAAGTGCATTCATGATGTCATACAGCCATCAGCACTGTCTGATGTCATACAACCATCAGTTGTCCACAACTTCTTTATCACCCTAAACAGAAACCCTATATCCCTTAGGAGTCATTCCCCAGTACTGTCTCTCCCCAGCCCCTGAAAACCACTAATCTGCTTTCTGTCTCTATGGATTTACCTATTCTGGACATTTAGTATAAATGGAATCATGTAGTATGTGGTCTTCTGTGTCTGGTTTCTTTCACTTAGCATTATGTGTCCAAGGTTCATTCAACTTGTAGCATGTATCCACACTTTATTCCTTATAATGTCAGAATGGTATTTCATTGTATGGATAGACAACATTTTGTTGATTCATTCATCTGTTGATGGGCATTTGGGTTGTTTTTACCCTTTGGTTATCATGAATAGTGCTACTATGAATATTGGTGTACAAGTTTTTGTTTGAACACCTGTTTTCATTTCTTTTGGGTGTATACCTAGGAGTGGACTTGCTGAGTAATTCAGTAATTATATGTATAACTTATAGAGGAACTGACAAACTCTTTTTTAGAGGCTGCATCATTTTACATTCCCACCAGCAACGTCTGAGAGTTCCAATTCTCCACATCTTTGCCAACACTTGTTATTTTCAGTTGATCATGATGGTGATGATGATGATGTTGATGGTGGTTGCCATCTAGTGATGGTGAAGGGTTACCTGACTTTTTAAGCCAACTATGACTTACCAGTGTTCCATTTGCTATTGTTGTTACTGCTGTTGTTGTTACACTAACATTGTTCTACAGTAATGGAGCACAAGCACATCAAAGCATGATTCAATGTCTCCATTCTGATTAGAACCTCATGTCAATTCTAGCCATGTTTTTTTCAGCGGACAACTGAGTTAAGCACCCAATATACCTGACTACATGACACTATTACTTTTCTGTAGAATGGGGAAGGAGATATATTTGTGAGCTAGTATAGACTTACACCAATTTAATCAAAGTTTACTTCAGCTGGTTTCCAACTTTAATATCTCCTCTTTGCAATCAAGTTAATATAATGCAGACATTACTTAGTTAAATGAAGGCAGTAGAGAATGCATTTGATTTTTCTACAAGAACTGAGCTTTCTTTTCAGAGGATTAGTGACAACAACAAAATCACTTCTCTCCCTTTGACCTGCCCAAGAAATTAGAAATGTCTGACATGCCAAGAAGGAAATTAAAAGCACACAAAAATAATTTAGAAACTCACATATTGCCTATATTTTTCAATACATTTTTATTTAATAATGTCATGTTCTTTTATTAATTTATTTTTGTTTTATATTCATGATATTCATCATTATGAGCATATTGTATATTCATAATTTTTATGGTTATGAAAATAATACATGCTCACATTTTTTTATTTTTTGAGCAAGAAAATCAAAATCACATTTTCTGCTACTTAAGAGCTGTAAGGACTCGGGGGTCATGGCATGAAGGTCCCAGGACTACATTTGAATTATGAGCCTGGGTCCTAGGTCAGGTTCTGGGTGACCTGGGGATTATTACTGCTTCACCCTTCTATGAATCTGATAATTAACGTGGATACAAAGTACTGATACTCTGCCTCACGTATGAAATATTTTGTTTGAGTTCTCCCTTTTATTGTCTGCCTACACTTCATGAATTCCCCACGCAGGCAAACTTGGTCTAGGACTCCACAAGAATTAGTGTTTTCTGTCCTCACATTAAATCAACAGGTACCTAGCCTGTCTCCATTCTCCACAAGCCAGCCACTCCATGGCCCCTAGTGAGAAACGCTTCCATGTAAGGAACAGCCTCTCCCGTTGGATCTGTAGACACCTTCTGTAGTCCTGGGCCCTTTCAACGCCTCCTTCATCACACCTGACAGTCATCGACCCTGCCTAGACACAAAATGCTATGCAGGACACTCCTCTTATTCTTTACTATCATCGGGTACCATCACTGCACATTACCATAACATACGCTGTACGTCTTACGTATATTATCTTACTACTCACAGCAACCTGAGGTGGGCGCGCTTCTCCCTGCACTTTATCTGAGCAAGTTACCCACCTGCTTCACGCCGCCAGCATGTGGAAGAGCCAAGCTCCCTGCCTAGCTCACCTGCCCCAAATCAGGCTTTTCACCATCACGGATGCGGTAGAAACATTTCACATCCTAATAGCTCTGCCATTTTCTTAGGGCCGACAGAGCTTATCAATCATCGACATCAATGATCTGACACCCTTTCAAAAAATACATGTTGAAAGATACAAACGTGATGCTAAATTCCTTACATGTGCTGTTGTAGTTCATCTTTTCAGCTCTGTGAGGGACGTACTGTTGTAACCCCTATTTTGCACATTATTCTTCCCATTTTCCAAGTTGGGAGGTTGAGGCTGTGTGGTCTAGGGATACTAGCTCAAAAATGGCAAAAATGGGGTCTCAACTGGGGACCGTGTGCCTCCAAAGCCCAACATAACCATGATAGCACATCACAAAGAAAGGTTACAGTCACCCCAAGGTTAGAAGTTTGGGCTGTGTCACTCAGATTTTTTGAGGTGAAGCCTCCACCAAGTCAGTCCGCATTAGGCTGAGCATATATCTCAAAGCACACTGCAGTGCTCCCACAACATAAGCCAGTTTGGTGCAGTGACTGTCTTTCTCTCTGGGTTAGTAATCCCAGCCTCTGCTTGCACTGGTTTTTCTCTGAAAGGCTCCCGTCATCTTCACTCAGACTCTTCCTGAAAGATGCTTTTCAACTCCCTAGAATGCCACGCGCCATTCTGTGAAAGGTCAAGATCCAACGCAAAAGGCCCTCACTGATGGAGGGAGGGAAACATGTGCGGACGGAGCTGAGGAATGTGTGGGGGCCAGCCACAAAGCCCGGGCTTGTGCTTCCAGATCTGGGGGTGTTCTTGGGCCCCTGCAAGTTCGCCATGGGTGGAAGAGCCCTGTTTGCAATTGTGGACAAAAGCCAGACAACTGTGGCCTACAGACTTTCTGCGGGAAAGAACAATGTGGAAAATTTTTTCTCTCTATTCCTTTGTGTAAGGTAGTATAGGAAAGCCTTTCTTGCCCGGGTTGCTGTTGAGTTTTAATGCTTTCATATTAGATTTAGCTTGCCCTCATGGGGGAAAGCCTGAGCTGCCCCCTTGAGCTGCAATCTCTCTTTGTGTCGTGCATCTCTGTGAAGATTTCTCTAACTGTGCCAACCAGCACCGAAGTTTTCCTTCCATCACAACTTAAGTCCCTTACAGCTCAGACTATGCATTCTAGGGTGGTAGAACAGGAAAGAAGTGCTCAGGTCTGGAATCCTGAGTCCTGCGTCCAATCTTTCTGCAACTTACCAGCATGTGGGCCCAGGCAACTCATGGCCCCCACACTTATCCTCAGTCTTCTCATCTATAAAATGGCAATTTTATAGACTCACTAGCTCACTAGCATTATAGACATGAGCCAATCCAGCAGGTCTTATTGAGAGCCCATCATGTATCAGGTTCTTTGCCAAGCCCTTTCATGGTTTTAAAGAGATAAAAGCCAGAGATATCTAAGTCAGAGCATATGTATTTAAAGCAGTCAAGGGGTGCCTGGGTGGCTCATTTGGTTAAGCAACCGACTCTTGATTTTGGCTCAGGTCATGAGCTCAGGGTCCTGGGATCGAGCCCCACGTCAGGCTCTGTGCTCAGCGGGGAGTCTACTTGTCCTTCCCCCCCGCTCCCCTCTCTCTCTCTCTCTACCCCTCTCTCACTGATAAATAAATAAAATCTTTTAAAAAATTGAAAAATAAAGCAGTGAATAAGGTAGCATGTCCAAAAATAGGTCCTGTAGTGTTTTCTGTTCACATGTGGTTTAAGAAGAAAAGAAAAATTCTATGATTAAGTAAATCTCAGAATTGTTGGTACACAAAGCTAACCAAATTATGTTGAGATAGAACTTCTCAGAGCTGACCATGTGCCATGCAGCTAGAAGGAGGGGGAAGGTATGTTCAATTTCCTAGGCTTCTTTGCCCAAAAAAACTTTTTGGGGGCAGATTTTTATTTGTAAGAGTGGCTACTCACATACTATGGAAGAGTTTTCTACAGAACACTAGGAAAAATCAGAAGGAAGGTTCAGGCAGTCACTGAAGCTGGTATTATTTTATATACTGTGAAGATGAAATTGTCACCCAAGACAATATATAGGAGAGTGCCCTGGACATTGACAACTGTCACCTGCATAGTCTGTCTCTGATCTCATAATGCTTTTGGACTATTACTTGAGTGCTAAGTATTGTCTTTCCAAATACAGCAAGCATCAGTTAAATGGCCCATAAGAGCAAAGAGGGTGGACGGATCTATCAGCTATTTAGGCATATCACAAACCACGGGGCCGGGGGCGGGTAGGGAACAGTACTTATTGGTGCAAAACAGGCAGACAGTAGAACAGACCAGAAGGCTCTAAGATTCATGTATATTTGGGAATTGATATATGATGAAGGTGGCACCACATATCAGTGGAGAAAAGAGCATTCTCTTGGTAGATAGTGTTGAGGAAAAAGGCTTTCCTATGGATTCCCACCTATGTACAAAAGTGGATTCCGGGGACAATAAAGACGTAGTAAGAGAAGTAAAACTCAAGTGTTTTTTAGAAGAGAATATAAAGAATGAAGTGAGTCAGGCAAGGATTTCTTTACAAAATCCCAAGAAACTATCCTTAAGGAGAAACAAATCATTTTCTTACATCAAAGTTAAATAGCCCCGTTCATCAGAGGGACAGCGTGGGCGAAGGGAACGCAGCTGATAGCAGAACTGGGGGACCTGTTTCCCTCCATCCCTTGCTTATCAGTCTCCAACCACATTGGCCTTTCTCTCTATCCCTTTTGTATACCAACCTCCTTCCTGCCTCAGGGCTGGTATACTTGTCTGTTGTTCTGCCTAAAACATTTTCTCTTCTTGATTCACCTAATTTCTACTCATCCCTGTGATCTCAGCCAAAATGTCTTTCCCTTCGAAAGGCCTTCCCTGACTGCACTCTCCTTTCACCTTCTGCTTTGTGTTCATTGCACTCCTTGCAGTTGCAAGTAGATAATCATTTGTGGAACCCTGAACTTGGTGTCCCTCTCCCCTACTAGGTGGTGTGTAAGCTCCGGGAGAGCAGAGGCCACCTCCTCAGGACTTGGCACAGTGCTCTATGCCTAGAAGATACCTTTAAAATGTTAATAGAATGAGTTGAGGAGGGTCAATTGAAAGAGGATGTATCCCATACCACATGCTACATGGATGCTGCGAGCGTAGGGAAGATTCCAGCGTACCTTAACCTTTATGTCAGCAAGAATTTGGGGTAATTACTTGTGTTCCTGCTTCTCTCTGTCATCTGGAGATTCAACATCTCAACTCTCATTTGTATCACCTGCAGTTCCTTGCACTGCATTAGGTGGTACACAGATACTCGTTGATTATATATCTATCCGGCTTCCTCCCACCACACTAGGTTTTCTATATTTGGACTATCACATCAACCATGTTTAGTGACTTGCCTTCTGAAAACTCTCTTTGACAGTTGGCGTCAGCCTCCATTTAATTACTTCTTTTGTTGACAACTCTCGTTCTCTGTTGACTCTTAATTTGATCTGAGCATTCAGTTATTCAACAAATATTTATTGCAAACCTAGTGGGTGCCAGGAATGTGCCAGGCACTAGAAAATCTGGCAGTCCCCCTCCAGCGTTGACATGCTAACATGACACCTCAAAGGAATCACCAAACAGAGCAGCTCAACTTAGTTAAATATTGAGAGAGGCCTAAATGCACCCAAATTTGGGCACAGCGCAGAGAGTGACTGAACAGGCACACTACAGTGCCAAAGCTGGACCAGTTCCCAGCTTATTTTGAGTAAGTGCTTCCAAGTGTGGCTTCATTATTCAGGACTGGAAAACTCTTCAAAACAATAGAAATCTACCCAAGCATCATTATGAAAAGACATTCTTAAGTAAAATAAAAAATAACCATACTCTGTTATTGTTTTTAAATACTTGTCATGCTCTTGAAAGGGTCAATTCAGAGACAACTAAAGCATCCTGTTCAGATTAATAGAGACATTGGAAGCTTGCTAAAGATAAACTTACAAACTACCCTTCAGAGATGATTTTGATGACAAATCTAAGTTGGTGTCAGTTTGTTTTTTTTTTTCTAGTCATATCAAGAGTATTATTACTTAATGAACATTGATTGCTGGAGCCAGTATATATTGTGATACCTACTGCAAAGAGGTGGGGTCTTCTGATGACAGTGTTTTGTGTAAGCTGACCAGGGAAGGATGATACTGTATAGAGAGCCTTGGAAGGAGGATTGTCTGTGAGAGACCCGCCCACCATTGTTTATTTTAGTATTCCTAAAGATAAAATCCCATGGAAATGGATTTAAGGGAGAATCTCCCATTAATGTTATCAACCCCAAAGTGAAGTCACATGTCCATAATGGAGTAAGCTTCCTGCCTACTCAGAGAAGGCTGGCTTCCTAAAGTTTCTTCCCAAAGGTCTGGAAGAAAGGAAGTCACTAGGTGCAACCGCCTTTAAGGAGTAGGGTGATAACTATGAAAATTTTTTGGAATTCTTGTACATGAGAAACGTGTTTATTCGCTCCCATTTGTTTATTCAATAACTTATTTATATCAGTCTGGACTAATGGACATTTATTTTATGCTTTGGGTTATAATTCAATACTACATTCTATATTTTCTGGAAATTATTCCAGCTTTGTGGGGCGCCTGGGTGGCTCAGTCAGTTAAGCGGCTGCCTTCGGCTCAGGTCATGATCTCAGGGTCCTGGGATCGAGCCCTGCATCGGGCTCCCTGCTCTGCAGGGAGTCTGCTTCTCCCTCTCCCTCTGCCTGCCGCTCTGCCTACTTGTGCTCTCTATCTCTCTGTCAAATAAATAAATAAAATATTAAAAAAAAAGAAATTATTCCAGCTTTGGCTATTACACACTCTTTCAGTTGTCTCCTGGGTCCCTTTGTCCTGCTCTGTTAATTATGAGGTGTTTTTCTGTTTGATGTTTTTATTTGGTCTTGGAGCACTTCCTTTCTTTCTGGCACTTAAGATGTTCCCAGTCATCTTTTATATTTCATGCCTCAGCTCTAGAATCAGCATTTTCCAAGGGGCCCTCCTTATGTAGGTTTTGTTTGTTTTTTCCTTATAGTTGATGGAGGTATTTTGGTAGCCACTATGCTAGGCACTTGATACATATTGTCTTTCTTAATCCTCCTATCAACACTAGTATGTAGCCTTTGACTTCATTTCGTTAAGTATAGAAACTGGGGCTCAAAGAAATGACTTACCCAAGGGCACACAGTAAGAAAGCAGAGCTGTGATTCCTGCTCAAATCTGTCTGACTCCAGAGCTCACACCCTGAACCCTGGCTGCACAAGGGCCAGCCTCCTTTGTTAGCGAAGCTAACACCAGGTGGCATCTAGCTGAAAGGGCAAAAGCCAGTGAACCATACTCTGGAAGACCTCTCAGAACTCTAGCCACACTGATCCCTTCCTTCTCTGAACTTCACGCTGATCGTTGAAAGCCTTCCCTGACCGTGGAAGGTGCTGATGTGCTGTGTTATGGTTTTTTCCATTTATCTAAATGCCCAGATCAGACTGTTAGCTCCTCAGCAAAATCTACTACCATGTAAGATTATCAAAAGAAGTAACTGGGCACCTGGGTGGCTCAATTGGTTAAGCGACTGCCTTCGGCTCAGGTCATGATCCTGGAGTCCCTGGATCGAGTCCCGCATCGGGCTCCCTGCTCAGCGGGGAGTCTGCTTCTCCCTCTGACCCTCTTCCCTCTCGTGCTCTCTATCTCTCATTCTCTCTCAAATAAATAAATAAAATCTTAAAAAAAAAAAAAGTAACTTCTAGAAGCCATATGCCTTCAGAACAGACTGGGGTGATAGAGCTGCCATCAAAGGCAAATATTCAAATCCCTGCCTTTCATACAGGAAAGGATAGATGTCCACTGAAGGGATATCACATTGTTTTCATGGTTATATTGCATCAATTCAGTCTCCCCCTGGGCAAGGAACTTCTCAA